CGGGAGCGCCACCGCGCTCCCAAGTGGCACACTGTAGCAGTGCGCCACCGGGCCGGCCCTCAATGTTTACTTTATTATATAGATGAAGTACCAGCATTATTTCATAGAATGTAGGGAGTTCAATTTTTCAAAAAAGCTCTTATTTGAAAGGATAAATTACTGTTTGTTCTTATGAACAAAGTAGAGGGAAAAAGCAAAGATTAGGAAAAGTATAATTTGCTAGTTTTATGATTTCCAGACAGCAGCTTTCATTTTTGTTTTATTATCATTAAAGTTTGTATAAATAAAATTTTTCAATGGGAAATAAAATTCAAATTGCTCAAAACTGAAAAGTTACAAAAATATGGGGAAAAAGTCTCCCTCTTATCCCTTTCGTCTTCCCACTATTATTGGTTTCTTGAATAACTTTCAAAAATATTTCATAAATATATAAGCCAATACAAGTAAATACATATATTTCTTTCCCTAACCTTTTTACACAAATGATAGCATATTAGAACCATTTGTTGAACCTTGCTTTCTTAACTTAATAGGTTTTAGAGCTCTTTCCATAATCAATACATAGAATTTCCTCATCTTTCTTACAGCTGCATAGCTGATACGTTTATGTATCATAAATTTACTTAACCGTATATATTTTTATTCTTTTGCTCTTATAAACAGTCATTTCACATATGTACAAGTACACTTGTAGAATCAACTCCTAGAAGTGTAACTGCCATGTCAAAGAGCATGTGTATTTGTAACTTTAATAGATATTGCTAAGTGCCCTCTACAGAAATTGTACCTCTACATACCTATCATAATGTCTAAAATAAAAACACAGTGATAACACTAAAGTTTGGCAAGGATGTGCAGAAACTAGATGACTCATAAATGGCTCATAGTGATGAAAACTGGTACAGCCACTCTGGAAAATGGTTTGGCAGTTTTTGAAAAAATACTAAATGCACAACTACCGTCTGATCCAGCAATTGCACTCCTGGACATATATCCCAGAGAAATAAAAACTATGTTCACACAAAAACCTGTACACGAATGTTTATAGCAGCTTTATCTGTCATAGTAAAAAACTAGGAACAACCCAGATAT